TTACACATCATATTATCAATGTAACAATTTGTGTAAAACATTAAATTGTAAAAAAAAATTGACCTGTACAAAAGAGTTAATATGGTCAATGTAAAAAATATTTTATTATTACCCTTAAATTTAAAACCCAATACATTGTTTATTTCCTTTCAAAATATTTTCTACTCCAAGATTTCCTGACTGCATATAAAAAAATATTACACAACACAGATGTCTCAAGAACACGTCTTTGTCTTCACTTTCACACATCTACTAATCTTTGCCATATAGGACCCTCACGAAAACATGCTTTCCTGATAAAGACAAGAGGAGAGACACTTTGTTAACACAAATATGGAGCAAATGTCAGTAAGGTCACATGGAAATGAATGTTAACCCTTATCTATGGTCTGATTTCAATGCTTCACTCCTTGTGCATGACTCGAAATTAAAAGCATAAAAGCGAATTATGACCATCACAATCAAGGCTGGATGTGTGGGAGGCAAAAGGAGGTAATTAGACCAAACTCCCCCATCCTGCTCTAAGCACTGACAGCACCGCACAATTTATTGTCCAACTAAGAGAACTCTCTGGACGATCTAATTGCAATATTAGCTTGTACTAACACCTGTTTTAAAGCTCACAGAGCGATATTTCACCCAGCCCATCATTGCTTGAGCACTTCTTGATCTGCAAATGGCATGTAATGCAAGTGCTTCCCGGTTTGTGTAAGTAAAGGGGTCGTGAGATACGACCCCTGACCTTCCTGACCCATACTTAACCCCTAACTAAGTGGACTCGAGAATAGACTCACGAAGCTGGAACAGGACAGGAAGTGACTGTGTCGCTGTAATTGCCTTATTTCCCGTGACAGCCAATAATGGGCCGAAATCAAAAAGAATCAAGTGAAGCTCTTTGTTTGTTGTTGTTTATCGCCCCCATTAGCGGTAAACATCATGATCAATGGGGCAAAATTGATGAGACCAAACTAACGTAGAGGCAGGCGTGAAAAATTATTCCTTCGAATGCCACCAGGTCTGGTTGTGTTAATGCAAGCGTGCGCATGCGAGGGCTCTTATTTGTGATGCATGGGGCCGCACAGCCGTGCGCAGCAGGTCTTGATTTACAGAGCAGATCTGTGCTTGAAACAAAGGTAGAGACTGTGGAGGGCAGGATGAATGGCCGTCATTAAGCCTTTTACAGTGATGGGCGCTACAGCTGATTTGCATGGTGGGCTGGCGGCCGTCCCTCGCGCTGAACTGATTTATCTGTTGGTTTAAGGAGCTCAGGACGGCGCTCCTATAAATACTGCCCATCTTAATAGGGCGCTAAAATGCAGTCGTATGGACCGGTCTGTCTTAAATCACACGCATCCGCTGTCATCCGTAAACACTTTAGAATGGGTTTTGGTCAGCGTAATGAGGAGTTGGGATGTGGCTGGGACACACACACATGCTAGACATCAACGATTCAGCCCCCACGTAGCGCCATTCATTCCGACTACTCCCAGAGGTAACATTTCAGATGGCAATATCAGCCTCATTGTAGAGAGATGAAAAATTAAAACGCTCTCACGCACGCTTTTGTCGTATTTTGTCGCGCCTTTGATGGTTCTCTCGCCCCGTCGGTTGTTAGTAAATTGGCATTATTGGTAGTTTGTTTGCTGGTGCGGCCACAATAATGGCTGCAGGGTTTTGTCATTTACTGAGTGGCTAAATAATGGTACATTCCATAAACGACACTGAGAGCATAAAAAGGTGACATCATCTCTGCAGGTTCGGACCTTACACCAATCAGATGCACTCCATGGCAGCTAGAGGTGAGAAGATTTTGTGTGTGGTTGTGTGTACGAGCTTTTGTAAGTGTGTGTTGAGAAAGAGGGAGGGTCACTGATTTCCGGCTCCCTTCACTTCTGTCCGCTGGATACGCTCCAAGGCCAGTCTAACGAGCCAACATGGATTTGGTAATGACCCCTGTACCCTAGGAGGACACTCTCACTGCGGTCCTGTTTGGAAGTGCACACTCTCTCACACAATCGCATCCACTCCATTCCAGTCATTACCAAACCTCCCTACAGATGCTTTTAGCGGGTAGAAGGCAACAGGGTAAAGAGTTTGAGAGAAGGTATTCAGAACAGAATAAGCAGTTAGCAAACCTAAAACTACAAACATTAACCTATGGGGAAAAAAGCTAAATTGTTTGGAATCATATTCAATATCTCTAAATGTTTCAGAATCCCAAATGTGGTTACTGCGAGAGCTGCGTTTGTCAAGAGGAGCATGTCTACACAAACTGTCTTTCGCTCACTTGGCTGCTGTGTCCTGCTGTGGATGCAGGATTTGCCCCCCAAAATGCACATTAATAAAATATCCAGATGCCCGTAGATGCAGGAGTCTTTCCATTTTGGAGGGCAAGAGAAAGATAAAAGATGCTCTTACCTGTCGATGATGACAGGATCAGATGGCGTCTCATTTCGGTTCCCGCAGCTCTTCTTGTCACAACACCGGCTGAAATGGATAAAAGACATAAGTTACATGTCTATCTAATAGGGTTGGATCGATACTGGAATGTTTTAGGAATTTCTACCTCAGCACTGATATCAATTCATAAAGATATCTATCTCTCTCTTTTTACTTATATCATTATATATTTATTTCTATCATGACAACTCTCGGAGGGATTGGCATGGTAATGTACATCACAATGTAAATGTATTTGGTCTTGGCGGAATAGATCTGCTACGCTGCTGCGGCAGAGCAAGTACCGAGACTTGCTACTGCCAATACATCCACAACATGCTGCTGTAAGCATGTAAGAAAGACTGCTGCTGCACATATAACACATATGAATAACCCCCATATAGCATACATAAATCACCCCGTAGCAGATCTATACAGGTGGAGCTGGGGCAGGTGGAGGGTTTTAAGTGCGCTGCCAACTTCTACAGCAAACAAAAGCCAGGTATTTGAATATTGAGCAGCGAGCTCATGTGCTACCGATAGAGGAGAGAACCAATCAGCTGCCATGTGACAATGATGTCACCAGGTCAGTTTGAGCTAAACCTATCGGACTGCGCCATCAAGAGTTTCATGCCAGAACTCTGTATTTATATTTACTATTGTTTTAGAGAGCAACATACAACAGTGACTGTATCTTTAGTCAAGCTGCTTGATGTTCAGTTGGATTTTGTAAATGCAGTATTTGAGAGCAGTGACTTGAATTGGAACCAAAGAAAAAGGACAAAAAGTGCTCAATGACCACAGAATTATGTATGTGTGTACAAAACACTGTGCTTTCATGCTTAGAAGAACTGCTCTGCTGTGTTCTTTTAGAGATAGGGATGGAGCTATGTGGTGACCGGCAAGTCTTTCTCAAGCTGGTGGCTGCCTGACAGGTCGCCCTCTTTCTCCTCTCGCCCTGTGCTCCAGCTGGGCTGGGCCCCCGCCAAGGTCACTCAGCCAGCCTCTGACAGTTTGGACAGCACCCAGAGAAGTCCTGGTGCAGCGGCTCTCTCCCAAATGCTCCTCTCCAACACTGTCATCACCTCTGCCCTTGCCCATGCCCTCGCCCCAGGCTGGCACCTCATCTGGTGGCATGTGGTTCCCCTAAATACATCCCACCTAGCCCATTCACCCCTTGCCAACCAAACTGGTGAGACCACTGGTGCCGCCTGCTTTGTGAAAATGATTCCAATTAAGTTTAAACTCATCAGCTTGAGATCATCAGTCAGAAGAGAAATATTTAATAAGTGTTTCCTGCAGGACTGAGTTCTTACAGCAAGAGACAGAGATACTTCTAAGAATTTAGGACTATCAATATAAGAAATAATCACAGTGTATTTTTTATAATATATTTGTAATTATAATAAATTTAAATTAAAACAAATCTTTACATATATATTCTTAAAAACATATACAGTATATTTGTATAGTCCTTAATATAATATAATATAATATAATATAATATAATATAATATAATATTCAAGACAATTAGACTTAAGAGACTTAAGCGGAAACAAAACAACATAACTGCTGCAAAGTCTTCTGGGCCAGCTCACTTTCTCACAAGGAATAAAGAATATAAATTATATATGTTTTTTAAGAATATAAATGTAAAGATTTTTTATTGAAATGTCAATGTCATTTATATATATATTTAAATAAAAATCTTTACATTTATATTCTTAAAAACATAATATAATATAATATAATATAATATAATATTTAAAGAAAAAAATAGGTATTTTTATGCATAATGACTAAGCATAATCAAAATGAATCATGAAGCAGTGATGCTCGTGAATAGCAGAGCGGGAGACACCGAGTTGCAGTATCTATTCCATTTTTCTCTAAACAGTTTGATGAAATGATTAAGTAGATGCTGAAACAAAAAAATCATTACCCTCGATTAAGATTAGCTAAGCAATAACTTCAAATCATATTGTATGGATTTTTCCGACCACTAAGACTCCTGATATATTCATCCTACTTGCTTCATGCTGTCATGCATTAGATTGCCATTTGACAAATAATCCTCACTCAGAGCCACCGAATGCAAAACGATCTGACTTTATGAATCATTTATCACATTGTTTGATCTTTAAGAACCTGAAAAAGCATGAACCGTTCGTTGTTTTCCTGTTCTTTGTGTGTGTGACTGTTGCCATAGAGCGCGCCACCATAATTTATTCCCCCAGCTACTTGGAACCATTAGCAAACTTCCAGGAGACCAATTAGCATTGGAAACCCAATGGTGAGGTTGTGGTGACAACCTCCTCAAACTGCGAAAGAAGTGTTATAAACAAACTGGACCCCAGGAGCACAGCCAGGGCTGGAGGGAGGCCTGGGCCCCTGTTCGCAAAAACAAACCTTGGCGGAGCGTCCGTAATGTGGCCTTAATGGTGTTCCCTCCAGGGCCTGAGCAGGCTAGCCCTGGCTTGGCTAATGACGAAGGGCCAGAACTACGAAAACAAATGCGGCTCCTCCAACCTCAAACCCCTAAAATGAGCACAGGACAGGCTGTGCTGCTCTAAAGAGGCACCAGCTCTGGTCGCTCCTACTGATTAGTCATAGATTGAGGAACAGATGCTTTAAGAGCTACCTACTCAGCTTGCTATCTCCACCGTGGCCCTCACTAGTCCACCAGACGGACCGCCGGTTTCCTGAAGTAGATTCACTTGAAAACTAGAAAGGTGGGTTTATCAGACGAGGGCGCAATATCAGAGCGGAGCTTAAAAAAAACAGCCTTCAAAGCTTCCCTGGGGAATCTTAAGACTAACATCAGATAGAGTGGAACATGCTGAAGGAGTAAGATAAGACATGAAACGACAGAGAAGGACGAAGAGAATGGATGTCAATAGAGGGCTTGTTTTCAAAGGGCAAGTGTTGTAATTACCCAGCCAGGCACAGAGAGGATGCGGCCAGGGCTAATCATATGCACCAGGCTGCCTGACTGGAGGGTGAGAGCCGGTGGCAGAGCTCTCCAACTCAGCATCCTCATCCAGACTGGCGGACAGAGACCAGTCCGTGCCCACTGTGCACTGCGCGCCATGATTTTGTAGATGCGCCATGCCAACTAACCGCTGCGATGCCTCATTTGGAGACTCTGAAGTGCCAGTTTCAAGTCATTGGGATGAGCAGGAAGGACCTTGAATGGTTAAACGCAGACCAAGTCCTGTCCCATGACAAATTACTTCCTATAGTACATTATAGAGCACACATATTGGGGTCAAAACTTTTTAATTCAGGGGCAAAATTTACACCTTGATTTTAAAGAAAGTATTTTTTCTAACCTAAATAAATAAACAAACAAATAAATAAAACATTGTTATTTGTATGTTAAAATTTAAATTAATCAATCCATTAACATTATGACATATCTTGAAAATGCATTACCTCTTCATATATATATACAGTGGGTACGGAAAGTATTCAGACACCCTTAAATTTTTCACTCTTTGTTATATTGCAGCCATTTGCTAAAATCATTTAAGTTAATTTTTTTTCCTCATTAATACACACAGCACCCCATATTGACAGAAAAACACAGAATTGTTGACATTTTTGCAGATTTATTACAAAAGAAAAACTGAAATATCACAAGGTCCTAAGTATTCAGACCCTTTGCTGTGACACTCAATATTTCTGATTTATTTTATTTATTAATCGATTGTTTATTGATTTAATTTAGATATGACATCAAAAGCAGCTGGAAAATTGCAATAAATAAAATTTAAAAAAAATGTTTTAAATAAATAAATAAAAATAATATAAATTAATTTAAGATTCTCTCAAAAATAATCAGAAACTGGTAATATACAGTGGTTTATATCATAATTTTATATATAAATTATTTTGCCTGAATATAAGCTAATTTTTAGTGGTTTCCAATTGAGGTGGCTGTTAGATGGTGTAGTTACAATGTCTACCAGCAGGGGCAAAATGGCCCATGCTAACCAGGTAAAACAACGCTCCTTAAAGTTCCTGGTGACTGTGAGTATGATGTTCACGTGGCAATATTGTAACTCTGCTTACAAGAGATGCCAATTAATTTGTCACAGTTGTTTTCTAAGCTCATTTACCACACAAAGGAAATGATCTCCAAAACAATCGCTATTTATTAAAACTGAAAGGGACCATAGCATATTCATCCTTGTGTCTAGAACAAGACCATCAAGTTTGCCATGAACAGCTGCTGTGCATTCAGTCTGTTGATGGGTGTTGCAGGTGAGGCAGACTCCGGCAGGGCCCTGATAAAGAGTTCTATCACCTGGGAGTGAGAGACAGGGGAAATATCTCTCATCTCGCTCTCATTAGCGAATGGAAACACACCATTCATCAAGGGAGGCAGTTAATAATCACACTCAATCACATAATGACCGACTCAAACTGAGCCATCATTATGGAAATGGAACCTGTATCGAAATCATCTCCGAGAAAGCCCGGTTCCTTGAGGGAGAAAATAGCACAGAATACCCAGCATCCAGTGCTGTGTGGTGTAAAACAGGTGAGTTTTCTGGAAGTGATGATGTCCACTTTATAGGGTGAAGCATTTGTGAGATTTATGTAGTGCTGGTGGCAGCCAGATGGAATCACTTCTGTGATTAACATAATTAGCAAAGTCCATCTTAATGATTCGGAATGTGTTGAAATTCCCATCAACACTTTAATAACTCGACAGGCTGCCCATAATAATTGACTGTCTCTTTTCTTGGCAAATCTCTGTCAGAGCAAAGCAAAAAACATTAGCATTAAACATATTAAAAAAATATTGGACGTGAAGTGCATCGGTAGTCAATTTTTTCTTTCCTTCTCGCCAGATAGGGTGCTGCAGGTATTACGTATTTTCATAAGCCAAAACCTAGAAAAGATTTGGCATTTTAACACTTCCACATCCACTGTCCTAAAGTCAATGGGTTTTTTAATGGATCTTTGGTTAAATGCCTGAATTAAGGTCTGTGGTTAACGCAAGCTCAAGATATTTTCACATTTTATTCTACAAGACAAAATATATCAGTATTACCCCCCTTGTGATTTTACTTGTGTTGAAAAATGTGGATGCTAGCAAGTGGTTAAATAGGTTGTTGGGGGCAATAAACACCATCACACCGACCAAGAAAACTCATCTATGGACTAGCCCATTTTTCAGTCTATGTTTAGCTTTTTACTTCTGGTGACTGTATTTAGGCTTCAAAATTAATAAAAGTTGTGTTCATTTGTGAAGATTATAATGATCAACAAAACGTGTAAGAATCAAACTTTTGTTGGTCACATAGATTATTTTCTACAATAATCCAAAAGCCAACGGAAAAAAACTGTAGGGTTTTTTTTTTTGAGGGAGCTGGGGTGATGCTATAACTTTAGGGTTGGCCTACAAAAATACATAATCACTCCTGCACTCTATTGGAGGATTTGTGTCTCCCACCGGCCCTCGGGTGCCCAACAAAGCCCCATCATTTCCCCTCACTACATTATTAACTCTAAGTTTACCCCCCGTTACCCAAGACACCAGCATCTGAGCCCCTTTAACTTCCTCGACCCCCCAGCCCTGCTTCCCTACAGATCCTTACCCCCCTTCAATGGCCATCAGGCAAAAATTCATGGACAGTACACCTCTATCCAGGCCTCCAGCCACGCGAGCCCACTGTGAACCCATAATTACACTGCATTAAGGTCAATGTAATGAGGAAAGCCCTGTAGGACTTCACAGTGGAGCGGGAAGAATCGTGTAGGCCCACCTATGCAACCCTGCGGTACATCCGTGAGCTGAACTCCCAAACCATATGTTAATATTCTTCTAAAGCCTCTCTCACACAATGATACTGAATCGTGATCAGTAATACGAGGCGTAATACGTTCTTTCTTATTAAATAATAAAAAAGGAATTAATAAGGCATTAAAAGATACTTCAAAAACTGCATGTTACGTTGTCTTCAATATGTTAGTGCTTTGCATACGAGCAGAGCTGTGTTTGTTATAGAAGTCTCAGGTTGTTCTTATAAGAAATGAGAGGTAAATATGAACTGACCTGCACATGATCTCATGGGTGAGGAGAACACGACACATCTCTGGGTTTTTGTCTTGGCCTTCATAAAGGATTGGCTAAAAGAGAGAGAAATTCATGTTATTTCAACTGTGTGTGTGTGTGTGTGTGTGTGTGTGTGTGTGTGTGTGTGTGTGTATAGTGTTTTAAAAGTGTTTGCTGGTTTACCTCAAAATCCCATTCAAAAGTTTGTAGTTGGTAAGATTTTTAAATGTTTTTAAAAGAAGTTTCACCAAGACTGCATTTATTTGATTAAAAATACAGTAAAAACATTCATATTGTAAACTATTATTACAATTTAAAACAACTGTTTTCTATTTTAATATATTTTAAAATGTAATTCATACATGTGATGGCAAAGCTGAATTTTCAGCATCATTACTCCAGTCTTCAGTGTCACATGATCCTTCAGAAATCATTCTAATATGCTGATTTGGTGATCAAGAAACATTTATTATCATCAATGTTGAAACCGTTTTTGTGGAAACCGTTCCAAGAAACGGTGATGAGCAGAAAATTCATAATGAGAACATTTATTTGAAATGGAAATCATTTGTAACCTTATAAATGTCTTTATTGTCACATTTGATCCATTTATTCAGTCCTTGCTATTCAGTCCTCTTGTCTTCTGACTTGGCCGAACTCCTCCTTTAGCTCATCCTGAAACCAGTGATTGCTAGTCATGCTTTTGGTTCGAAGCATGCTGACAACTTTAACATATGCTAAAAGCTAAATCTGGTCATCGGGGGCTGGACGTATGTGGCGATCCGAGGGGGATCCAGACTCTGCTGGGGCTCATGTGGAGTAACAATCTTCCCGTTCTCCCCATCAGCATCCACCCCGAGCAGCCAGATGGCCAGCCAGGCCCCGAAAGAGAGGCCTCCTCCCAGGCATCCATCATCAGGCTGCCATGCCTGGCCTGAATGACAGATGATCGGTGCATATCAAGGAAGCTAAAGGACTCACCCCCCTTCCTACCAGACCTCATCCCCATCACCAGTGAAGATGAATCCATCATAAACACACACACACATACATAAGGAACGCACAACACAATCCACCTCAAACTATTCTCCATCTTACTCAACTCTGGTCAGTCGGCCAGACAGGGCTGACCCAACGCCCTAGGGAACAATACTTTTAGTATAACGACCACTTCTACATTATTGATCTTTCTCTTCGCTGCCTATGAAAGTCTCTTCCTCTTCATCACCATCCTCCATTTTTGTCGAAGGGTGAGGGGATTTGGGATCGGAGGGGGTCGGGAGGTGGATCGGGTCGCTATTTATATATCATCGTTCTTGATTCACATCGCTGGCGCCAAAGTAGTGGCCCCACCCCGGTTCTTCAAGCACGTCTGACTCCAGCGATATGGAATAGTGTTACAAGTCTTCCATGAACTCCAAACACGCTCTTTCCTGGTACCTTAATTAAGTCATCTCACCTTACAAGAAATATTTCGATTAGCAGTACAAAACTATTTCGCTAAATTCATTTTGGGGAAACGTTCAAATTGAAGGCGGCATAACTCAACCAAGATCCTTCTCTCTCATATTCTCAATTAGAAGAAAAACTGGTTGTTCTCGATCAATATTCGCAGCTTCGCTGTTGATGCACATATGTAAAGCCTGTGTGCGCAGGTAGGGGGGAAGGATTTTACGGGCACGCACAGCTACTGCCCTTTTTTGTCGTCGGGAGGATTATTGTCTCCAGCGTGTCGGCTCTGCAGCTACATTAAGGCCTATTGATTGGTCTCCGGGGTTGATGCTTTGTCGAGGAACTGGTTGCCATATTGATCTGAGACAGGCTGACACACAGAGACAGTGGGACCTGCTGGGCTGAGGAAAGGATAGGCCATACGAAGACCAGGGGGGTTGAAATCTGGTCCATTTCATGACGGAACGAAAAACGCAGGTGCAGGACTGAGTCGAGAGTATGAGAGGCATCTCTAATGGGACTTTTATTTGCATGCGGGGTTCAACACATGCACTTTTAGTCAAGTCACATTTATTTGTATAGTACCTTTAACAGATATAATATCTAAATATCTTCATACCTTTTAGCAGATTAGAGCTGGATGATAATATAGTTTACATTTCGAGATGATACAAGCAATCAAGCAGTTTAGATTTGCTATATAGTATACATTGCTTTATGTGAATATACTGTAAGCACGCAGTTAAGTAGGATGTACTATATATTCACCTTTATCTAAAGAGCTGGGTGATAATATAGTTACATTTTGCGACAAAATAAAAAAAAATAACAAGCAGTTGAGACTTGCCATATCTCTATTTCACTTTATGTGAGTATACTGTATGCATGTGGATAAAGTTGTACATATATATCAAATTTATATAAATAGCAGGGCAATATAGTTACATTTTGTGACAAAATAAATTAGTGCTGTCAAACGATTAATCGCAATTAATTGCATCCAAAATAACGATTAATTGTTTGACAGCACTAAAATAAATATATAGGAAAATTAATACATTTCTAGGCAATAATATATTTGACATTTTTCACAATATAACAATCAAGCAGTTGAGATTTGTAATGGTGTATATAATTATATTATATATATATATATATATATATATATATATTTTTTTTACATTTTGGCCCTTAGTGAAACGTCTGGGCAACTAGTTTACAGCATTATACAGCCCACTTAAGACTTTCAAAGTCACTTTAATTGCTGTTCTTTCTTTGCACATCTGTGTCGTCGCTGATATCATTTACAGTTAATATACATACTATAGTAGGTATAAAACTTTATTAATTATTCATTTTTAATTATTATTAAAAAGTTATACATTTGTTATGTGGTGATATTTACACTTTATACATTTTCTGAGTGAATGATTTTCAATGAAGAAAAAACAAAAACTCAAACTCACCTGTTTAGTCATGGAGTCTATTAATCGAACAAACAGATCCTGTTCTGTCCTGATACCTGGAGGTTTAAAATGGAATAAATACATATTAGACACAAAAACATGCATCTCGTAAACAAAATGTTTTCTTAGGCTCTGCGTATAATAAAATCCTGCTCAGTTGCATGATAAAAAAAAAAAATCTAATGTGCCATATTTCAACACAAATACTTATAGAATCAAGTGTGTGTTCAAATTAAAAGGCTCTTTGAGTAAACAGAACATAAAGCCAGTCCCAAATGCAAAGCCCAATTGTTTTGAAAAGTCTACATAAAGGGACTCATTTCTTATGGAAAGTCTTGGAAATTAATTTGTTTTATTATTCTTTTCCCTACAGTACGTTTATGCGCATTCTGTTATGCTTGTCATGCTGACTGAGCTATTCCGTTAACGCTTCTTAGCAAAAACAAACTCGGCTCAGCTTCGGAGTTTTTCTATTATTTATGATTTTCCCGCCTTAAAGTGTGAGAGCTCACTTTTCTCCTGCCCTGCTGTCTGGTGGATGACAGAGAATCCACATCTACAGACAAATCACTCACCACTAGCTGTTATCATGAGAGCAGGAGAAGAGAACAGTCTTGTACTGAGACTTTGGTTCCAACTCTTCTTATTGTCTCTCATTAATGGCATATATATATATATATATATATAT